AGCAATATTGCTCAATAGTAACTTAGAAATCAGAAGCCATCTCTCTTGAACTGTCAGAGACAAAAACCAAGTGATGAAACAGGAGAATACTCTTGTTGCTGTCATAGCTGGCTGGAGCACTGCCATTTAACCATGTGCCACGTGCATGTGAGGCTGGGAAAAAGAGCTGGGAGCTCAGGGATGATGTTCTGTATCTAGATGTTTTGTAGTTCTCCTTTACACAGAAACAGAAAGGCCTGAATCCAGTCCCAGGTGGAACCTCTATGGTCACTGCTGGTCTTTTATGCACTGTGGTCTTTCTGTTCCCTGCTTGAGCCATGTGACATTTTAGTTTTCTGTGGACTGATATTTGTGCTTAAACTCAGTCATTTAGAGGTTATGGGTGATAGGTAGTGTAAGACCTCACCCAGCACCCCATGCTGGCTGAGGCTCAGATCTGTCAGGCACTGGAGGGTTTGGAGCTGTATCACTGTTTTGGCCTGAACTTTTCCTTCAGCAGATCAGAGCTCCTATGCCAGCATGCTCTGTATGTGCCACCCCACCCATGCATCTGGATGATGTGGCTCTGAACAGACACAGCTAGCAGCCAGAGCTTTATCTCCCCACAGTGGTTTTGGGAGCCTGGCTCAGCTCTGCTTCCTGATCTGCAGCCCCAGAGATGTGATGCAGAGCCACAGTGCTTTGCACTGGCATTACCTTGTTTGCGCTGCATCCGTTGCTACCTTGCTCCGGTTAAACCAAGAGCAGTTTTCCTGACAACTGATGTCTCTGTTCATGTATGCATCCTTGAGCCTCAGCCAAAGAGGTGGGAGGCAGAGTGTCACAACTTAAGTGTCTCTGACGAAGGTGGATTGGGGACTGGGCAGCGGGCTGTGGCAAAGGAAGTGCAGACAGGTATGTTCCCCATCCTGCTGCTCTGCCTGTCCTACAAACCAAGCAGTAAATGGTAGCCTTCAAATCTGCAGTCTGTGTTAACTGTAGTAGTGAGATCTGGCAGGGCTTCCCTGTCAGCATCATGTATGACTTCTCTAAGACAAGACAGGAAAATTGTGACAGGGCCGCTTGCTGAGATGTGGTCTCATAATTCCCTCGTCTTTCAACTACCATCTGGATTATTGGTCTACCCCATAGTGAGATTTTCCATAGCAGCATCCTGATCAGCGAATGCCTAATCCATAGGACCAAGGCCAAGACTATTTGGGTAGCTGGAAATTATTTTCAGGCCACTTTCAGACCTGGACCTGATGAGTTGACCCCATTGGGTGTGCCCATCTGGGTCAACCATGACAGCTCAGCTGGATTTTTGGGTGTATGGTCTTCCCTTCCACCCTCACAGTTCCCTGATACATCTTGATTTTCATCTCATTTATTTCCCACTTCTGCCATCTGCTGATCAGAAATACTGTTTAGCCCCGTATCCACCTTTTAATCCCTCACTTCTCTTAAAATCTATTCAGATGCAATTAACACAATCCATAAGCCACACTGTACAGGTGTGGGTCCTCCTTGTACTACTGACTGGCCTAAGCAACACAGCTTCAGACTGGGAAAAGGTAGCTGGGACCCACTGCTTCATCTGCATTCCCTAAATCTTTTCCCTTGAAGGGCTGTCTCACAGCTGTACCAGGTGTCCCCTGGACCTGCACCACGTGCCATGACTGTTCAAGTTCAAAGCTATCAAGACTACCTGTAGATGGTCCCCTGGAGACTGTCCTGCCTGGGCTATGAGGAGTATCACAAAGCACTTATTGGTGCTTAAGCACACAGGTTCCTATCTCACAGTCCTGCTCCACACCATTGACAGAAAGAAGTGGAGTGAGTGGTGATTTTGCAGCAGAAGCAGCCCTGAAGGCAGAAGTTGTGTTGTCACTGTGCTGCCTGATAATGTGCTATGACTAGCCTTCTCCTTCAGAAAGGGTCCTGCCAGTGCCTTAATGTTCACTTTTGTTTGTTCTGCCCTTGCAGGAAACTGGATGTTTTTTGACAATTGAATATTGAGGGCTGGCCTCGGAGAATAAAAATAAATCACTTCCCTAGCTTCACAATCCCAAGTCAGACTTGGAGTTGAGGAAGGCAATGGCTTTATCCTCAGGGAGAGCACACTCCTGGACGATGGCTTACCAGGGATCCATTTCTGCAGCTTGCATCAGGCCACAAAATAACTGTGTCACAAAACCAGAGGAAACTAAGTGACAAAGACTGACTCAGCACAGTCATCTCTAGCTAAGCCATATGAAGGATTCATTTGTAATCCCTTTGCAAGACATTTTTTTGTGTGTCAGTCAGAGAAAAACTTCTCACTAGCAACTAGCATTGTTTCACTCATTTTTCATATTAAATGGAAATATTTTCTGCTGCATCTTGTGTGAGTTTACAGAACAGATCATAGGTGCCCAGTTCATAATGTTGAGTGGATTTCTCAGGGCACTGAAAAAAGCCTCTTCTTTTTACATCAAGGAACTGACCTGCCATGATCAATAGCTTCTGCAGATAAACACCAGCTGGCTCAGGTCTTGCTCACAGGGTGCCCACATGAGTATGGAGCTCTTCTCGGTTGTGAAGATTCATAAGCATAGTGTGTTCCCCCACAACAACCTGTCCACTGCCATAGCTCTCTTGGATGCTGGGCAGCTTGCTTAGAGTTAGCCTTGAGAGTGTCTGCCCAGTCACTGACCACAGCTGTAGATGTGTCCTCACACACATTGAGGGTCTTCCTTGCTTATGTGAGGACCCAGGTTCAAGGGTATATGAGTGGTCCTTGGAACTCCACAGAATGGTCCCATGAAGGGAAACGGCAGTAACCATCACCACCTCCTGGAGATCCATAAAATCTCAAGCTTTTGCAGATGTCTTCTGTTTCCCTCACCACCTGGTTCTGTTCAACTTTCTGATGATACCTGGGTGCCAGAAAAGTTATCTGCCATGCCACAGCTATGTGACTTGATGCCATTTGTGTAGATGCTCTTTCTCTCTTGGTGCATTGGGGTGACTAGAGAAGAGTTGCTTTTCTATTCCGGGGCTAGTGGTAATAAAGAGGTATAATTTCTGTTCTGTACTGCAAAAAAAATGGCTCATCTGTTAATTCCAGCTTCTGGCAGGCAAACTTGTCTACACACCCCAGATACAATTCTGAATGGGACTCACCTTCTCTTGCAGTCTTTTGCTGCCACTAACTTGCCTTCAGTGTCACCCAGCGAGGTAGTTTTGTGTAAGAGCAAGTCACCATGAGGAAGTGTTCAGCTGAGTAATGTTACTAACGTCCAAAGTTCAGTCTTTGGGAATAGAAACTGAAACAAATGTAGGAGTAATAAAGTGACATCCACCACCCAAGAGGCAACAGACAAATCCAGAAATATCCATGGCTGCTGACACTGATAAAGGTGAATACACATATGTGAAAAGTAGGTCTATTTCTCCATATTGAGTGTAGATATTTACTGTAGTTGTATCTAAGGAACTAGTGAGCACAGACAAATGTGTGTGTTGACACATGAAGATACACAAGAGACACTTATGGATTTGTGTGTTATCTCTTTGAATGCATTACCGTACCTTGCGTGTTAAGGTCCAGCTTCAAAATATTAATAAAATTTTGTTAACCCTGATGTGGCATAGGCAGGAAGAATTCAAATTCTAAAAGACCTCTTAATGTGGAAAGAGATCTCAAAGGCAAGTAAGAATGGAGCAAATTAATTGACTTTTCACCTATTTTGTTTTTGATGCAATAAATAACTAGAAAATGCCTCTTAAAGAATCAGTGCAGGGAGCTGATCAGGTCTCTGTTGATGTGGAAGACTATTTTATTCCTG